AAACAGACCTCAGTGTAGGGCAAAAAAAAAAAAAAAAAAAAAAAAAAACCCAGTAGTTAAAAATCTGTGCAGTGCTGAAGCTATCTCACTGAGACACCAGGCATTACTACCCTTATGCAACAAGAGAGGGGAATGTTGTGTTTATCTGATTAGAAAATGTCTGGCTCTAGAAGACCCCTAAATCTCTCCTGCAAAGATAACATTTTTCACTTCAAAAAAATATTTTCCATGCCTGCACAGACTAAGTAGAGTGTAGCTGTTGAAGCTGATTAGCTTTCTGCCCACAGCAGCCCATTTCTGGTGGTTACAAACATACACGCCCCATGTTCATCTTATTGAAAGCAATAAACAGAGCCCACACACAGCAGTACACCTACAGCATGTGAAGTGAGACTTGGTGCTCGTTGTAGAATTGTACATTTATGTCAGCTGAAGTCCCTGGGTGGACATTGGGGGTGTCCACGTTATATATATTTGACAGGAAGATGGCAGAGCGTGGTCTCACAAGTGAAGGACGTAGGCCTGCAATCTTTTGGAGAAGCCCCGAGAGGAAGAAAAGTCAACCTTCTACAAGCTCTACTGCATTTGCCAAGTTCGCTCATCTCTTGGCACAGCAGATTGTTCTTCCCTGAGAGAGAGACGGGTGTCTCCAGTCAGTCTTGGCTATTTTGGATATAAAAGAGAACAAAAACCAAGAACCTCTGGCCTAGTTACAGGAGGAAAAGTCTACTGGAGCCAACCAGGAACAAGTTCTCTCTGCCTGCCATGTTCATGTGGCCCTGGGGACTATGGACCCGGCATATAGTGTCACTAACTAAATCTTGGTTTAGTAATGTACACAGTCTAGTTTCTTTCCTATTTTTATGTTCCTTTTCTATATGTATTGGGGTGTGCACTCATGCACCACGTTGAGGTCAGAGGTCAATGAATACCTTCTTCTGCGACTCTCTCCCTTATTGTTTGAAATAGGGGTCTCACTGAATCTGGGGGTTTACAGTCTGGTCTACACTGGCTGACCAGTAAGCTCCAGGATCCTCTTGTCTCCACCTCCAGGCTAGTTACATGTGCACATAGAACTCTCGATCTTGGACATAGGTGCTGGCCTCCCTTGCTCAGGTCCCCATGCTTGTACAGCAAGCACTTTGGCCACTGAGTCCACTCCTCAGCTCCCTGGGTTTTAATTGAGGACACCAGATGCTGGTAGTGTTACCGGTTTCCGTTCTGTGTCAGGGTCTCAGAGACTGCCCAGTTAGAGTCGTGACTTCTCATCTAGGGCAGTGATGATCACATGCACCTCGAGATTTTCCTAAGGGTTGAATGAGCAATATATGCACCAGGGAAACAAGCTAGGCAAGCTGATGGGCAGACGAAGTAGAGAAGCCAGGCCTCAGGTTGTTTGTCCGGAACCTTCTTCTCTCAGGGGACGCTCTGGGATGCAGCGTGATGGCTCTGAGCCTTTCTCATCTGAGCATCGATTTGAGCAGGACCTGATCTGCTCACTCCCAGAGCCATTTGCAGTAATATAAGGGGCTGAAGAAAAACAGTCAGGTTCCTGCCAATGTTAAAAAAAAAATTCCATATTAGCAGAACTGTGGGCTGAGATTTCTACACACTGGCTTTGGCAACTATTAGCTCTGCTATTTAAAGCCCTTGTACAATGTTTTACTGTGTAAACTGAAAAAGTTCAACTTGTATGTTTTTATGCCTTTCCTGTTACCAGTGATTGATACGTAAAAATTCTTGGAAAGGTCCATTGCACCCAAGATGAAAATAACCATATATCTGTAATTTCAGGCCTTGTGTCACCTAGGAAACCTTACAGTAGAGTTATTGTCTGTCGTGTGAGTGATGTCCAGATTTGCACATTTCACTCTGTACCTGAAGAATTGGCTAGTTTTCCTAGCACTGCACTCTGACCAGCGGTGGCCACCTCACTGCTAATGAGGGCAGTGCTCTTACTCATTTAGATAAGAGAAGCATTTAGGCAGCAGTGTGGCCTCCTTAGCGTTTCCCCTTAAGTCCGTCCACAGCTTGGGGTACTAACCTAACATGTAGGAGAAGATGCTTGTGATTTGATTTCTGGGCCCTGACCATGGCAAATATGCCTCATCCATTTTGTTATCTCCAATAACTGTCGAATGTAGAAGTAAGTGGGGATGCTGGGAGCTCTTCCCATCTAGTCCTGTTTTCATTTGGGAAACTGAGGTGTAGAGAAGCTACTGACAGAGGTCACAAGAGGCATGAGCAAAGGAGTTTAAAGCCCCGTGAAGAGGAAGGCCATGTGCCTTCGTTCCACTGGAGTTTGTCATCAAGAAAATGGTGTCTGGTATTCCCTCATACTAGTGCTCACTGCTGTCAGTCCTGTGGATAAAACCAGATGTGTTTTTATTTCAGGAGTGGCTTAGTATATGCCATTTAATAGCTTTTGATTAATTTTTCTGAATGTCACTGTGGTGCTTTTATTGGCCTAGAACTGGCTGTGTAAAACAGGCTGGCCTTGAACTTGCAGCAATCCTCCTGGCTCTGCTGCCTGAGTGTTGGGTTGCGGGGGTCCAGTGGGAAGTGAAATGGGGTACTCACACTGGGGTGTTTTAGATGATTCTCCCTGGACCCGGCTGCCTTTGTTGATGAGTAACTCTTACTCAGCCAATGTGCTTTACAGGCCTTACATGGATTATCTCATTTAGTGTCCCAGTGAGGCTGGTCATAAACTATGAGGAAGTGCACTTTACTTGGGAGAAAAGTACAGGTGAGAGGTTAAGCAGTATTCCTACTGCATACCACATGCACAAGACAAACATGGTGAATTTGAGCAGCCTAACTTTTCATATTAATTGATGTTTTAAACATCAAAGAGTAAATATTCTTGGCAATAATTGCTGGGAAAAATATCATCTAGGCATATGAATTTGCTTTACTGCCAAACAATATAATAACTGGAAAATAATTCCTTGTAGTTGTATATCTACTCCTAAATACTTTTGGCCTTGCAAGGCGTTAGTTCCTATTGGCAGGAGAGGTTAGCATGACTGTATTGGAGAGAGAATGTTACCTTCACAGCATCTTGCATAGAGCTTCTCCTTGATAGATGTTTATAAAGTTTATCATTTTTTTTAAGAGAAATGGCAGAAGATCAGAATCCAGACATCCAAGTTGTAATCTAACTTAGTGTTGATTTTTTTGTAACTGGACAGGTTGAGTGTCTTCTCTGAGCCTCAGTTTCCCCCAAATCAGGAGCGGGAAGACTCTAGATCATTGTGTTTACTCTGGATACTAAGCCTGGGTGTCCTGGACTGTCAGCATCTGGAAGACCTACCAAGACCAAGGTTTCCTGGGAGCACAAAGGGCCTCTATCAGTATTTTCACTGAGAAAGCTTAGTGTAGCTTCCTTTTACTGGCACGCTCACACTCTGGGCATCTGCTAAAGGCAGCTCAGTGAGTTGGACCACTAGGCCAAAGGTGTGAAACCCAGAGACCCAGAACGCTGATCATCTCAGAAAGAGTGAAAATATGATAAGCCATGGGCATTGTTGTCTTCGGTCCCTTTTAAAACAGTATTGGGGTCACGCTCCACAGCTGGGCTGCCTGCCTTGACAAACCACTGAGGGGAAGAACCTTGGTGCACCAAGCCTGAGAATTCCAGGCTCTGACTGTTAGCCATAAGCTGGGTGTTTGGTTTTCAGTCTTCCTTCTTTCCCTTGGTATCCTTCCCATGTGCCCCCAGCGGGCCAGTAAAGCCAAAGACATACATGCTACAAACCCAGAGAGGACCCTTTAGGAGGCGCTGTTGGCCGCACAGGTTACTTCCCCTTGTAATTCAAGGCCCTTCCTTCAGCCATCCCTTGGTTGACTGGTAAACTGCATTACATTTGCTTGGTTGTATAATAGCATAAGATTAAGGTTACAGTACTTCCTGGATAGCTTTAATTCCAAATTAAGTCGGGACAAGGAAAAAAAAAGTGTGTGTGTGTGTGTGTGTGTGGTCTTTAGTAAGTTTGTGGAAAACCAACTCAGAGTACAGTGTGACCAAAAAACACAGGGTGCCACGTAAAGTCCTTAAACGCCTTACTTAGTGTGGCAGAAATGTTCGTGGATTTGGTAGCAGAGTGCCGCCCCCCCCCCTTCCAGACCTTTCAGTGGGCAAAATACAACTGATGAAGGTTCGTGCTTTGACCTCTAAAACGGGGAGAATTGGGAATTTCAAAAACATCCTTTCCCAGGGAATTCAGAGAACAAATTGTGAACCTATAAACTGTTTTCCTTAAGTTCAGGGAGGGCGTTCAGCCCTTAACGAAATGAATGCCGCATTGAAGACCCCTCCTTACAAAGAAAACAGTGGGGGGGGGAGGGGAGCAAAGCAAACAAATGGCAAAGGCGACTATTATGTTGTAGAAAATACTTTTTGAGGTCCGAGTCTTCATATAAGTAGATATTTTGGGGGGCAGAAATCCGAATCTGTACCTTTCCTGCTTTTAAAACGAAGAAGGAGGAAAAACAAAAACAAGCCCGGAGATTTCTCAGAGCCACTGCATCCATCCCCTCCTTCCTCTGCAGCAGAGCCGCTCTGCGGAACCTGAGAGCGACTCGCAGAACCACAGCACCACCTTTCTGCAAGATGTGGAACTGAATCTTCACGCTATGCTAGGCTGCTGGCTCAAGCTGTTCGGTCGGCCAGCCTCAGCAAGGAAATGGCTCTGGGACGCTCAGATCATAAAGGAAGAGCGGCAGAGGCCAAGAAACGGGTTTTCTTTTCTTTGGCCTTTGAGCAATTAAACTGGTAACTTAATCGGATGTTAGGGACTGTGAGCTATAAACCCTGTGTTTAATTAGTTTGCACCCAGTGAGGCATTTTACACGCTAGACATTGTAATTTATAACCTGCTGCATTGCAGCAGTTTCCTAGGCTTTTTATTGTGTCATAAGATATTCTTCTCGCTGCTGAGTCTTTAAAAATATAAAAACACTCTTAGTTGAGAATTTTTTTTCTTTTCAATTTTCAGTTGCAAATCAAACATGCAGTTACAGAAGCAGAGATTCAAAAATTGAAGACCAAGGTAAGCACCGCTCCGTGGTGTTTGGATTGTACTCTTTAAACTTCAGATACCCTGAGGAATTTTAAGCCTAGGACTAATGCATTTGGTCCTGTGCATTTGAGAGCATACTTCCATGAATTTCAGTTCCACAACTGAGTACAAAGATAGAATTTCCGGGAGAGCAAGCACACCGCACACACACCAGTGAAAGCCATGTGGCACCTCATACCTTAAACAGATATGCTTATGCATATTCTCTCTGAAATTTCTTCAAAAAATGATATTTTTAATGGCTCAAGCATCTGAACTGTGTACTAATTTTAAGTACAAACTGGTATATCAAATCTCCTTTATGTGATTTACCTTCTAATACATTGATTGATTTTTTAAAACTAATTATTAGAGGCAATGTATTGTTTTAATGTAGCACATTAATTACTTTTTTAAAAAAGCTTCCCATGTCTAAGAATTAAATATTATAAATTCACTCTATGACACTGTGTAATTGATTTAGGTCCAGGAGTTACTGGAAATCTTGAGGAGTACTTAGTTTGCATTATTTAAATTTGTTGAAGAGAAATAGAAATAAAAAGACAATATATTTTTAATCTATATGAAATGAGACATGAAAGTAAGCTGTAAAATTCTTGTAAAAGATACAGGTCTAGCTATTGTGTTCAGTTCTATCAAATGTATATTTTCAGAGACTTAAAATTTTTTTTAGTTACTTTCAAACTATTCTGTATTGCTTCCATGGTCTTTTTAAAATTAAGGTACTAATTGCTCCCCACGACTAGTGTTCTGTTCTCATTCACAATGGATACTTGTTTGGGATTTTGTGTGTGTTTTAAATGGAGAAGAATTAGCTGGGCTACTTTAGTTGAATGACATTCTTGACTAATATGCTCTGCAGCTCTTCAGCCTCCCCAGTGCCAGCCTCGCACTGTGAATTTTAAATTCTAAGTTAGCAGTGGCTGGTACATAAACAACTGCTATAAAACATTACTTAGTTACAGATGCAGTAAAATCGAAGTAGTTTTACCAGAACAGTTTCTTGATGTTGAAAAGCACATCTTCTTAAACTGTTGGTTACAAGTAGGGAAAAGGAGCCCCTATTTTTACGAAAGCTCTTGTAAACAGGCATAGGCGTTTGACTATGAAGATTTACTTTAGAAAGGACTACAAATTCCTATTTCATATTTTTCTTCATAGATTGGTATATGATATCCACACTTGAAAATATGTAATTGTAATTATTATCCATGTTAAATAGATATCATCATTTCAAAGTAATTTTTACTTTGTAACCACTTGTCCAAATGTATTTAGTTAAAAAATTCACAAAACTATACCTGTGATATAAAATATATATTTGTGTGAATGTGTATTCCAGTTTGTTCAATGTTATATAATTTCAGAATGTCTTCATTTTGAACACTGGTAAGTTTAAAGAAAGCAGAGAAGGTCGGCAGAGCAGCAACTTAAAGGGCGGGTGACGGTTGTCAGTGCCCTTTAAGCCTCATCTAAACATTGTATCAACAGCAAGGCCAGATGGGTTTCCTCTTTCCTGCACTCAAATTCAGCCGGGAGGTCTAGAGAAAACTGCCCTCCACATTCCTAAGAATACCTAGAGACAGTAACAACACACAGCTGTCTTTCTGATCGATGGCAGAGATTTAGAGTAATCAGACAACGATTTATATCTTTACTTATCCTTGCCTTTTATGCTTTGTGTAAATTAAGGTTCATAGATATTTATAATACTCCCTGTAAGATATTGAGTATGTCCATGTCAATTGAAATCAGGAACCTAGTAACATCCTCTAAAGGGTTAAAAACACAGGAAGAGAAGCTGACACTTAGCAGATGATTATGATGCTCTATGTGTTGCAAGGATGCTGAGCCCTGAGAACACAGGTACACTGTATAGATGCTAACCCAGGCTCTTAGAAATTGGGACCACTTGTCTAAGTTTTAAGGAAAGTAATTCAAATGTAAGGTGAACGATTAAGTCCTTTCTTAGCCTTTAGTGCAGTGGCTCTCAATCTACCAGTTTCAGAATGACCCATTCTGATGATCACTTAAGACTATCAGAAAACACAGATATTTGTGATTCACAAAGTGGCAAAGAGTACAGTTATGAAGTAGCAACAAAAACAATTTTGTGTGGGGGGGGGTCGGGTCACCACAGCATGAGGAACTGTATTAAAGTGTTGCAGCATTAGGAAGGTTGAGAACCACTGCTTTACTGCATAGGATGCTTCTTTTCCTCTTCCCTTCCCTACCCCCCCCCACTTTCCTCAGTTAATTTTCAACTTATTGTCCTACATTTTCTTTAACATGCTCTCAAAGGAAATGCGTTGACATATATTGGACTGAGTCAGTGACATGCTAGACATCTTTTCCTACTTGCAGTATACATGGTACCAAACAAAGTTCATAGAATTTGGACTCAAACTTGTGTTTCACCATGTATCAGATGGGTAACCTTGAGCAAATCACTTCCCTTTTCAATTCTTGCACTTTATCCTTTATGGATATGGAAAGAATTGTTGCTTTTCTTGTCTCAAGCAGCTTTGATGACTTAGGGCCCATAACGACAGAATTTTATCTAAAACAAGCTATAGTAGTGTGGAGAGATGGTTGCTACAGACATACTTACATTGGTTTTGCCTTGGCATTTGTTTTCCCCAGCTGCAAGCAGCAGAAAATGAGAAAGTAAGGTGGGAACTAGAAAAAAACCAGCTTCAACAGAATATTGAAGAGAATAAAGAAAGAATGCTGAAGTTGGAGAGCTACTGGATCGAGGCACAGACTTTGTGTCACACTGTGAATGAGCATCTCAAAGAGACTCAAAGCCAGTACCAGGCCTTGGAAAAGAAATACAACAAAGCAAAGAAGCTGATCAAGGATTTTCAGCAAAAGTAAGTGTTGCCTAGTGATCCATGGAACAGTTAAACTGATGGGTGTCTGAAGAAGGTGCATCCCTGATGGCATGATACTATTTAGGGGTGTGGGAAGTGTAGGCCGGGTTCCCCTTCAGATTAGCGGAGCCACTCTTTCTCATGGGAATGTATTTTGGGTGTGGTCATTTGACTCCCCCTTAGTTTTTGATAGGAACTATTAAAACATTTACACTTGTTGGTTCTTTCTGGAAGCATCTCTGTGTTTTAGAAAGCAGAGTGTAGCTGCTTGGCTGACCGTTGCGAGGGCTACAAACAGAGGAGCAGGGCGGTGTGGCTGAGGCTGCTTCTGTCTGTCCTTAGGATCAGTGACCACAGACCCTGCTCCTGTGGGCGTGCAGACACTGACCGCAAGACCCCCCCACCCTGCTGCTGCATTTCTCCAGCTGTCAGGGACCCAGGTCACAATAGTGAGGCAGGCCCCCTCCACACCCTGAGAGGAACTTTCAGCAGCTCTTTTCTGAGCTACAGTTGTTTTTCTTCCACCTCTTGGGCCTTGATGTAATCTCAGAGAGGATGCCCAGAGAGGTCGTCATGAGTTATTTCTGACTCACTAGACCAAACACCAGTACCTTCTGCGGTTTTCTGTGACAAGCCTTGGAAGCTAAGTATGTGTGTCGCAGTCATCGTATTTCTTTCCTGTCTTAGAAGTAATGTTTTAATAGTTGAAACAGATAGCTGTAACAAGTTGTTTAAAAGAGGATAAGTGGTTCTTTTGCTATTGTGAACTCAGTACATTACTGTTGTAACTTTTTGCCAACAACGCTATATCTATGTGTAAGCTATGCCCATTCTACCAGAAGCTCTCAGAATGGAGGGGCATCCCCTTCTCCAGGATTACCCTTGGAGGTGTGAGTGTTCGCCTCAGTACCCTTCCCCTGTTTTCTCACTGGAACGACCTCTTTTCAGCTCTTACCATCCACTTCCATCTGTTGCCATATGTATTGGAGATAGAGAATCATTTCTACTGACAGGAAATTATCACCATTGAATTCCCCACAGAGTCGTTAGTGCAGTCAACTCCTGTCCACATGAGTGTGCATACTCCAGATGAACAGCATCCTAAGAACACTAGGAAGAAGACTTCCTGTGCTTGTGATTAATCATGAAAGGTGTCTTGCCTTTCAGTGCCATAAACTTTCCCACTAACTATATTTGCGCTTCATTTATTTCAATAACTCGGGTTTATCCCACTGTGCACTTGAGGGCTTCTGTAGGAGCGTGCACATTCCCTTACTTAGTGAAAGTTGTCTACAATTGAACTTACTGCTTTCTTCTTAAGAGAGCTCGATTTCATCAAGAGACAGGAAGTGGAAAGGAAGAAGCTGGAAGAGGTGGAGAAAGCCCACCTGGTGGAAGTCCAAGGCCTCCAAGTACGGGTGAGTGAGCCCCCCCCAGGACCCCCCCCCCACCTCCTCCACCCCCCACCCCCGCCACCACAGCGAGCCACTTCTGCCGAGAGGAGCTGCACAGTCTGATTTGTGGGTGGCTTTTTGTTTTCTAGATCAGAGATCTGGAGGCTGAAGTGTTCAGGCTACTGAAGCAAAACGGGACTCAAGTTAACAACAACAACAATATCTTCGAGAGACGAACGTCTCCTGGTGAAGTCTCGAAAGGAGACACTATGGAGAATGTGGAAGCCAGACAAACGTCCTGTCAGGATGGCTTGAGTCAAGGTTGGTCTCTCCTCACCTCAGACCTCTTGGTTGCGGACAGCGTAATCAGGACTTAAGTTTTTTTTTCTGACTTGGAGACCCCAAATCTCACACCACCTCCTAATATGAGGATAACAGCCTGCCATCTTAGCCCATATCAAACATAAATGTGTCAGTGTAAATGGCAGAGTCCCAACTAAAGGCAAACCCAAGCATTACCTTTAAAGTGTCATGAATAAATGTGCAGAGTAAACTGCATTGGAAATGATATTCCATTTTTTCTAGTCCTTACCCTCAGCAAATACCTTGCTCATGCATCAGAAGGCTGGTGGCCTGTCTCTAGCTCTCCAGACTCACTTAGTTAAGATATTCTCTTCATTTCTCTTCTTTATCTGGGGGTCTTACTTATACTCCCCATGTCCACCTTGCTAAAAACCAAACAAGTGGAGAACACAACATCAGACACGCCCACGATCCATGTGTCACTTACATGTCCTCACACATTCACATTCTGTACATAGGTTAAGTATAAATCCGTACGAATGAGTGTTTCATTTAAATACTGCATTCTTACATAAAAACATAAGAGAGCGTATACACAGAAATGTGCAGACTGCAAGACTTTTGGTTTCTTCGATTTTCATGAACCTGTAGCAGGGCTTGAGGAAAAGGAAGGGTGTTACACAAAGCAGTACTTCAGCGGCCTAACAACTCCCTGTTATGACTTGTAGCAAAACTCTGCTAATTATGAGCTCTTTCATTTTTTGATGATCTTTCTCTCCTATTAAAATATTTTCAGGGTTGGGGAGATGCCTCAGTTGGTTAAGTGTCACCACCCACGCATAAAGACCCGAGTTCAGATCCACAGCACTCACATAAAAGCCATGTACGGTGGTTTGCATCTACAATCCCAGTGCAAGGGACAAGAGATGAGGGTGTCTCTGGGGTTTGTCATCCAGCCAGCCTCGCTAGATCAAAACTCCGTATTCCCTGAGACACCTTCTCTAAAATAAAATAAGATAACCCTTCTTGAAGAACGACAGCTAAGGTCAATTAATTCCTGACCTCAACACATGTGTGTACAAACACCCACTGACATGTACATATATATAAACATGCACATACATATACTGCACAGAGACGCATAGGCATTACCAGAGAGATGTTTCTGATAATCAACTGTTTATGTTGAAGCATTAACTTCCAAAGTAACTTCTTAATCACTAAAAGTGCAAAGAATTGAAAAAAAACATTCATTTAAATGAAGTCCGTGTTTAAAGATTCAAATGCACTCACCAGGTTTATGTCTTTCTGCTGGGTTGTCCCTAAGTAAGGGATAGTTTCTAAGTAATGCCTCAAGGCAGTTGCTAGAGAAGAGCATGGAAGGTATATGGAGGGCTGTGCCTCAAGCGGGTCCCCAGCTGCTCTGAATTGGTCTTATTGTGTAGAATATGAATGTGGTGATAGCTTTTCCCTCTCTAGCCTACTAAGGTTGCTTGGTACCATGTGACTATGAGGCAAAGGTAAGTACTGCTGTTAGTAAGTACAGCTATGATTTTTATACCTGGAAAGGCATACAATTGAAGTCAAAAGAGAAGTCACAGAAATCAAGCCAATATGGGGTTTTTAAACCTTTATGAGTGTTTACAGTTTAATTGTAGTTTATTAAAAGCACAGGGTCTTGCTCTGGTATACTCAGGGTATGATCAGTAACCAGTAGCCTTTCCCTATTATTCATGTCTTTCAGTTTGGAAATCAGTGTCTTGTCAAGCATGTAATTAATGGTATTTATTAAATTATGTGACTACAGAAGATCAACAAACTGTACTATTAACATGGTGATTTGGATCAAAACTTTACATTTCTTCTGAACCCTTTTCTCTATTCGGCACCCTCCATTTGGCCACATAATTATCAGTTTCCCTAGCAACACTGTCGTCTCACAGTGAATTCTTCCTGAAAGCCACCCCTGCTTATAGTGGAGGCAGAACCCGTCACTGCACACTTTAGTGATATACGTATCAAGCCATGTTCTTGCAGTTTTGCAGCCAGTGACAGCCAATGGCAAATCTTGAATTTAGTCATTTGGTTTCATGACTTAAGTGGCTTGGCTAGTGGCTAGATGGAATGTTCTGGAAAGCACCTTTCCAAGTTGATTCTTTGCTTCTGTTGCAAGACTTAGAGATTGGGGGAGTAATGCTGCACACCCAACACCACCCACTCAGTATTGGAAGACCATTGCCACCTTCTGAAACACCAAGTCCAGGACTTACAGCCACCATCATGGTGCTGCCTCTTGGGTGCGGAGTTTCCATGCTGTCTCTCAGGGCTGTCCAGTGCTCCTCTGCTTCCCAGCTCTGGGTTGGCTAAAAGGAAGGTTTTATGGTGATGGGCTTGGGGTAGCTCCTGGTATAGGTCAGTGAGAAACTGTGTCAGAATGAAATAATGACAGAGAGAGAGAGAGAGAGGGACGGAGGGAGGGAGGAAGGAGAGGAGAGGAGAGGAGAGGAGAGGAGAGGAGAGGAGAGGAGAGGAGAGGAGAAAGGACAGGAAACATTCATTCCTCCACACTGATCTGTGTTTTAGAACAGAGCTTCCTGACAAGCTCTGGGGAACTTGTCTCTCAATATAATTCCAGGCATTTTTGAGGAATGAAGCTAATTTTCAAACCTTACAAAAGTTTGCAACACTTAAGTTAGTCTTTAACACTACTTGTTAGTATCTTTGTTTTCTACCTTGCTTCCTAGACGCTGGGATGGTGGTGGCATCTGTGGCTGAGCTGCCATGTTGCCTCCTCATTAGAATATGAGGTTGAACTTAATTTGGATAGATAACCTTGAAAAGCCCCCAAAATACAAAATGTCCATCCCGAGCATCTATATAGTTCACGATTATTGCGATGATACTGTTTCAGCCTCAAATATTTAGAGTCTGTTGTCTTAGAAAGGGGCTATGCATGTTCCATAGACTACTGAAAGCAAGTGTGGGATGGATAAGAGTTACATATGCAGGCACATGATCGGTGCCGTGATGAAAGGGATCAGGAAAGTGCAATCTCAGGTGAAGTCATGTGAACACTGAGTATCTGTTTTCCTGGCATGTTCTCTGTGGCACAGACTTGCGGGGGAAAAGTGACCACTGGGTAGAGCGAGGATGGCAAATATGTAACAAGGGAAGTAATTTGTGGGGTGTATGAAATCGAACATGGGAAAGAGAGAGACAGATGTAGTTAAGACAACATACACACATCTGAAAAGTGAAGAGGAGGTTCAGATGAAAGTTGCTTCAAATGAAAATGACTTTTGTCCTCCCTAATTGGTGCATCTAATAAGAATGAGATCTTTTGAATTGGCACAGGGTAATCTTGGGGTAAAAGTTGGCTTTGACTGTCTAAAAAAGTACTGGTTCATAACATTGTAAATGTTGTCACCACTTGAAGTTCAAAGGTTACTGAGGTGCCTATAGGGATTTAAGTGTAGTCTGGATTGCCCTCAAACTTGTGATCCTTTTGTCATGGTGGCCCACATCCTGGGATCCTGGGATCCTGGGATCACAAGTGTGTTTTAGTGTTTTGTTTTTCTTTTTTCCCAATACCCTGTTATGTATAAGAATCCCAAATGATCAACATGCACTTTCTCTCTTGGAATCTTATCACCTGTCTGCAACATATTTGACTAAAAAATGCACTTGTCTAACCAAGTACCAAGTGGATGAGAATTCTGTGAAATTTTATAGTCAGTACTGGTCTTAGATTGTTTATAACCACCTAGGTCTGGAAATGGGGGAAAGCTCCCTGTTTAAGAAACTAGAGCTTAGATTTAATGTACATAATAATAAGTTTTCTCAATAACGACACAGTGAACTACCTGATGTGTTGGTCCTTTCTTTTCTTTCTTTCTTTTTTTCCCCCTGTTATAATATTTAGATACATATCCAGGAATAACATTGCTGCACTAAAGAGCAGGTGATTTAAAAGTCTAAATACTTCCAAACAAATAAATAAAAATAAAAGTATCCAATAAAAAGTATTATGGTAAAATCCTGACGTAGAAGCCAGAAGATATCAGGACAATAATTTAAAATTATTGAGAGAAAATAAACTGTCCACTCTTGTGGATATTCCTTTACACTGTGTGAAGATGTCTTACTGTGGTTGGTTTAGTAAAGAGCTGAGTGGCCAATATAGGCAGGACTTCTGGGAACAGAGAGGTCTTGGGGAAGAAGAAAGGCAGAATCACCAGCCAGTCACAGAGAGAACAAGACATGCAAGAGGAGAGGTAAAAAGCCATGATCCACGTGGCAGCATGTAGATGAATAGGAATGTGTTAATTTAAGTTATAAGTCCTAGTTAGAAAAAAGCCTAAGCTATAAGCCAAGCTTTCATAGTTAATAAGAAGTCTCCATGTTGCTCTTTGTGAGCTGGTGGCCCAAAGAAAATTAGTCTACAGTTTACCTACTAAGTTTCAGTGATGGTGCCTTTAAGAATGAGAAAGAAGTTTGTTACATGCAGCCCCTACCCTCAGGAAGCACAAGCTGCAGAACCACAGGTTTGAGGCCAGCCTAGGCTACACAGGAAGAATGTCTCAAAAGAAAAAAAAAATACAAAATAAGGAAAAATTATGTTTCAGGCAAGCAAAATGTAGATATTTTCTACCAGTGATCCTTTTTTCCCCCCTAAAACATCTACTTCTGAAGGAATCAGCTGATTCCTTGATCTCAAGGCTCAACCTTAAAAATCCCATTGATCTAAGAACTGTTAACTATCCCACATTAAATATTAGCAAGCCAAATACAGAAATACAACTTAAAATATGATGTGTCATGACCGTGATAGGCATACGCAAAGTTGGTTTAACATTAAAAAACTCATATTTAAAAACAAGAACTCATATTTCACATATTAGCCAAAAGAAAATTTAATATAGTTATTTCAGGGAATGAAGATGGACAGTTAATAATATCTATCTGTAATAAGTTTTATCCAATTAGAATTATGAGGGAACTTCCTTAACTTGATATCG